CGAGTACGAGTACGAGTACATAAGAGTGAATTTCCTAAGATCTCATTAGAAAAAATTTAATTGATAGTTTTAATAATGATGTATTAATTTTGAGATCGAAACATTGTTAAAGTCATGAATCAAAATATGTTTATTCTTATTTTTTTCATCATAAAGTTTTAAACAATCAAATTACAACAAAACGCTATTGCATTTAAGAAAAGTAAGCAAGCATACATTTTTTGAGGTTAACGATGCGCGATGTGGACGCATAATAAAACCACTTTTAGAAAATATTCTTTCAATAGGAGCTGATGTAGCCGGTACTGATAAGTATTTTAGACTAAGTTCATATAGAGAAGGATAAAGATTTTTCTTGAGAAAAAGTAAATTATTTTCATTGCTTCTTTCCGATAGAAAAGCATCAAGCTCTACCAAAACTTTCGATTTGTCATCAAATGAAATCTTTTTTGTATCATTTAAGTAAGGAAAAAGACATTTTCTTTTTGTTGTTGGATCAACATGTTTTGTCATCATATCAGTAATATCTTGTTCAGCTACGTTTGACTCATCAGCTCCTTCTGGTTGTGATACAGAAAAATTCAATTTTGAGAAAAAACGAACAAAAGTACTGTAAATTTTTTCGATAACACGTAACTTTATCGCAAGTTGAAGATTATCGAGCCATAACAACTTAAAACGTGCATCTAGAAGTGGTGCAATTAGAAACACAGGATCAGAAAAACGTTCAGACATGGAATAAAAAGCAAATGGTACATCAATTTCGAAATGACGAAGAAGTCCACTAAATCGAGCTTTCAGAGATGAAAGAAGTGCTTCACACACAGATACAAGAGATAAATTTGAAGAAGCATGTTCACGCTCAAGATCAAAAAGAATACCAAGAATAGTAGGTGCAACAAGACTAACAGTAGCATAAAATTCACCTTGTGTTAGAACAGTAGCTTCATTAAACAGTTCAAATAAAGAAACAAAATCTTCTAAAATTTTTCTATCTTTAGTATTAAGAATAAGATTATTTTTTTTTTAAATCAGTTAAAATGGAGTTAAGAATGAAGGATGGAATACTAATAACTTTCTTCACAGTTTGAAATTGTGAATTCCATCGAGTTCGATTAGCAAGAGGAATACTGTACTTTTGTTCTTCTAAACGTTCTGCAAATGATGTACTTGTATGTGCAAGTTTAGCAAGATCAGCTACTTTTTTAAGAGATGATAATGCACCACCAGCAGCTTTAATTCCATCATTAACAACAAGTTGAAGACAATGACTAAAACATGGTAATCGTAAAAATTCTTGTTCAGGTGGTGCATTAAGTGTTGTTCCATATATGTCATCATCTACTTCTTCTGCTTGTAATTGACTATTTTCGTACAATTCATTATTATCACTATCTTCATCACTTGTTTCACGTTCAGATTGATCATCATCAATATCATTAAAATATTCTTCAAAACCTGGTAATATAAGATTATCAAATGCAGCTTGATTATTACTTGCATTATCAGTAACTATTCTAACAAGTTTATCCTTTAAATTGTACATTTGTATAACACGATCAAATTCAGCAGCAAGTTTATCACCAGAATGTTTACCTTTTAGGCGTTCGAACGAAAGAACATAAGTTTTATATTGATCATCAATAATTGCGTGAAGTGTAATGCCAAAATAACTACGCATTCTACGATCACTCCATATATCAAGAGTGAGACTAACATATTTTGATTGATTACAAATGTCCTGTAGCTTTTTTATACATTTTTTATACATAATAGGAAGAAACGAACGTGTAATATCACGTCTATTAATCATTTTGTACTTTGGATCAACATCTAACATAATATTCATAAACGATTCATTGTCGACTATTGATAATGGAAGACTCATATTAATAATAAGATTTCGAATAATACTGTTGGTGAGGAGCTGTTGACGTTTATTATTGGTCGAATCTAAAATTAAAAAAAGTTCCTTATCTTTGTATCTTTATAGAAGATACAAAATGAAATCATAGTAACATATCTCTCTTTTATAAACGAAACAAAGTTTATCGCCTCAATTCTAGTCTTTTCTTACTATTTTTTTCCTAATTCAATTACGATGTAATTTAAGATAGGTGTATACTTACATTTTTCATTCTCTCGATTAAAAATATTTGTAATCTTCGGCTGATTTTGTTCATTCACTACCTGGTCTTGTTTATCTTTCCATTCATCAAATGCTAATCGATGTTTAGTTTTTGTGCTTTAAAAAATTCGAAGTTGTTTTATATGTATGTGTAACTGATAATGAACAAATATTGCAGCAACAAGTCCATCGATTCTTTTCAATATTAATATTCAATTTTGAAAAGAATTTCTGAATAACAGGTGGTCCATTAACATCTAGTCGATGATAACATTACAGTTCAGATTCTAGCACGTTCTCAGAAGATTTATCATCTACTAAAGAAGAATTCTAACAAAGTCGTGGCGAAGTCGTCGATGATGAAGTGATTTCTTTGCTCGATATATACTTACGAAAATAGTTAGGTCAAGATACATGTTACATCTAAAACCGTTTTCCTTGGTATTACATTATTTTGAGAAGGTCTAATCAAATATGACGAATTCTTTCGTCACTTCTTAGCAAAAATAATTTGTTTTTTGCATCGGATGAGTCACTCTCAAACGTGATCATAAAGCATTGGTTAATCTGTATTCTGTTTCTTCTTTTTCTTTTTTGCAATGACGATGTTATTGCATAAGACACTTGTAATTAGCTGATTTCACGTGCGCAAAAAAAAATACTCCATGAGTAAAGCATCTGAAAAGTTACTTATCTATTGATTGTCGTAAGTTGGTTTTTTTCGAATTTTCAAAAAAAATATACATTGGATCGACTGTCTTGTCATTACTGGTGAGTGACTGTATATTAGGTTTACATTATAACTAGGCATGTGCCAAGCTCGAGTAACTCGGTCCATGCTTCATCATGACTACTAAGTCAGTCATGACAGTCAACGATTTAAAGTCGCTGAAGAAGTTGGATAATTCCAACCAATTTGCGATTGAAAACTGCAATAATTCTCATCTGGATTTTATGATTTCTTTCTAATTTGTTCTTCGCCAAAGGACAAGAGAATCCGAGAATTAATAGGAAACATGTTTTAGTAGTTTTGTCATTCAACGTTTTGTTTTTCAACGACTGTAATCAACGACCTATAATGTGTTCATATCATCGTCGCCAGTCATCAAATGAAAAGAAATACTCTGAAAGATAAATGTTATGAACTTTGGACTAAAGAAATTTCTATTACTATATTCTTCCAGTAGTTAATATGGAAAAGTCGATCAATATAAATTGATAAATCAGAGAAGTTTCCAAATGAGAGAAAGAATTTTGATCGATTTTCAATTATCTCAATCATTTCGTGTAGTAGCGAATTGTCAAAAACATTTCTTAGTTACATGTTATTAGCAGTTAGATTTAAAGAACGAAGCTTATAGCTAAATAAAAAAAAAAACTTTTCACATCGAACGGAGATTGTTGGTGCCCAAAATCCCAAACTAGGATATATTTTTCGTAGAAAAGAATATATCACAAAGTTAATTTGTCCATTTCATATAAAATGAATATTTTCTTTTTTACGTTCTCTTATATGGTCGAAAATACTACGCAAATTCTTATTTAGAGATAGATTGAAGATTATACGAAATAATTCATCTATACCTTTATTTTCATATATACAAAAGTTTTCTTTCAGATAATTAATTGATTAAATATACATAATATGGCTGCTGCTGATGTTATTTCTACAATGTCAACTTCATTTGTTTATGAAGATTTAGTTTCTCAAGTTCAAAACATTCAATATCAAATGCTTCAAATGGAAAACATTCTTGATAATCAATGGAAAACGGAAAAAAAAATACAAAATGAATTAAAATCACGTTCATTAACATTTATAGACCCATATGGAAATCGAACAGTGAATAAATATATGGATCATGAATCAATTAATAAAGTACTCAGAAAATATAAGAAAGACTATGTACCAAAGTATTTACAAGAATGGACTAAGATTGGTACTATGAATGAAAATATTATTTCATCATTAAATGAATGTGAATTAAAATCAACTGTATCGAACTATGTAAATGGTCATCAATTTATTACATACGGTGAAGTGATTGTATGAGTTGGAAGTTATGAAGATTTATGGCCTCGAAAAATTGTATTACAAGTTCTACTGACGGATAACATGGAGAAAATCAAAATGCAAATAAGGAAACAACGACAATTTACTAATATAGAATTAAAATCATGTACGATAAATCAAAGTGTAAAACCAAGCAGAAAGGATTGGACAGATGGTACACCACTAAAATCGGAAGATACCATCATGTCATCTCAGTTATATCAAAATAATTGTTTCATTATGACAAAAATCACCAACCAGAAGGTAAACTGTAATTTCTTTTTTCCTTTAGTGTCATATAGTTTTGTTTCTTTTATAAAGTGTGGTGCTATCAATTCTAGTATTATGCATTTTCAAATATTTGTAAAAACTCTTACTGGAAAAACCGTTACTTACAATGTGAACTCAAAGATGGATATAGCTACTGTGAAAGAATTAATACAAGACAGTGAAGGGATTTCTCCCGATCAACAACGTCTTATATTCCGTGGAATGCAGTTAGAAGACGGCAGAACTCTGTCAGACTATAGTATACCAAAAGAAGGTACGTTACATCTCGTACTACGTTTACGAGGCGGAATGTATCATTTTACAAGCGGTCGACAAGATTTTCGTAACTTGCCTAATAGCAGTGCCGAAGCTGTTAAAAATGTTCTTGCATTCAAGGTTAAAGATATGGATCATACTCAACATGTATCACCATCTGAATTACAAAATTCTATTTTACAAGCACAAGCTATTCTCTCAACTTTATATCGTGTAGTTGCAGGCTTTTCTATATCTCATAATATTCCAAACTTAAAGACTATCATATTACCAACACCCACTGACAATGAAGATAGCAATGAGGATGAAGATGATGACGATGATACGTCTAACGATCAATAACAGTTATCTGCCAGAAATTCACTACGAGTGTATCGTTTATTAAAACATAATATACTTAAAGATTTACTTATTAAAGAAGAATAAATGAGACTTAATCAAGAGACTCAATAATTATTGTTAAGTGTTGAAGATCGAAAAGATATCAATCGGATAGATCTTATTGCTCATTTAGAAACATTCCATGGATGGATTTGGGTGTGTGGGTTTGGGGTGTGAGCGTTGGTGTGGTTGTAGGTAGGGCGTGTGGGTGTAGATGTAGGTGTAGGTTTGGAAGAAGGAAATATCTTCATATACATTCCACACTTGCACCCACACTCACACCCCCTTCTGGTTCTCAGTACCAGAGGATCCAATCGGACTGAATTTTTTTACCACAGATACAGCTCGAAAAATAAGCGAACCCATATATCGACGATTTTAGTTATGATGATGTCTTCATGGGTTTTAAAAAGATCTTTGAAAATAACCGACGATTCTACGACTCTTTTAGTTTGTCCGATTAACATGAATTCTTTTTGGAAGTAGCCCTGACATGTTTACACAGGACAAATTCAGGATTTTGAATAGCCGCGCTTTATTTTTTTTTTATTCGAAAAATTACGAACCCTCCAACGAGGACCAAAATTTTCGATTTTCAAGATCCTATAACTCCAACCAGGAAGTCAAAACTGAAAAAGCTCAATTTAGTATCTGAAGAATGTATTCAAGCAGCTCTGATAAAATTTTCAGCCAAATCAGACAAAGTAAAAGGATAATTATAGGATCACCGATTTTGATTATCCGCATTTTACACTATACACCGTGCAGAACGTGCAAGAGAACGAAAATAAAGGCGCGTTAATTAAGTTCCAAGTTTTTTCTTGATTGACAAGAATGTTTGTTTTCATTAACAAACATATATTCTTGTGCAGCTTGATCTGCTCTACACGGCTGGCTGTGTTTCAGACCTTAATCTTTCATATTCAAGATGAATTTTGAAAATAACCGCAAAGAACTGCATTTCTGACGAGTTTTAGTGAAAGTTCGATATCTCCTGAACAGTACGTTAGCTAAAGTACGGAGAGATCTTAAAATGGATGAAACTCTTCGAACTATCATCGTGTGTAACCAAATCAAAATTTTGCTTTCTGTTAAAAAAGAGGGGGAGTACCCTTAAAGAACAGCTGAATAGCAAAGTGCTCTTCAACATTTCGCTTAAATAGGCAAAAGCGCACCATTCACTGTCTTCATCAAACTTGTTTTACGCCATTATGGACAGAGAGACGAAGAAAAAAGTGCACTTCAACATTTACATTTGAATAGGCAATGTAAACCTTTCACAAGACGCTGTAGTTTGATGCCAAACTATATGCGTATGCGTCAAGAACAATAAGCAACCTATTACGAAGTTTTTTAGCACATGGATGAGCTTATTTCGTTCGATCTTCTCAGGTCGAAAGTGGAAGTAAATTTTCGTCATAAAAAATCAATACCACATATGCAAATAATCATAAATGCCGGTTTACTGCAGTGTATATAATAGATGCAAAAGAGAAAACAAATACACTCTCCTTCCACAACAGCAACGTATACGTCTTTCTGCACATTGAAATATGAACAAAGTTCTTTTTCTTCTGCTTGTTTGTGCGGTTGGTTCAGCTATGAGTATGCAATAAAAATCATTATTTTTCTTCGAATACGTTTTTTTTATGAAACTTTAGGTAAAATGGGCATGACCTTCATAAAGACTGCACATGATTCCCGTTTCGGTATTGATAATTTTAGTTGCCATGCACCCGCCGGTTTCGACGGAGTGAAATCGTGCAATGCATATACAGGAGATACTGATTGTGAAACTTCCTTACCCGTCCTCTGCGTTAATATTGATAACAGCCCACGTCCAGCCTATCCTATTACTGATCCAGGATGCACCAGTTGTGCGATGCCTTATTGGTTTTATTTCGGTTGGGGTCGTGGTGAGTAAAAGTTACTTCTAATTTTCTTGTCTGCTATTCAGAACAAAAGACACACATTCTATGCTTTTTGTATTTGGACGCGTTAATTTGATCTTTTTTTCATTGTGATTTTCCGCTTTCACTAAGGTAATGTTGCCAGTACAACACCGGTCAAAGCAAGCCAATTTCAAACACGACAAGATATTGATGCTTTTTGCGCATCAACGTTCGGAACTGGTTGGAAAGTGGAATCTTGGAATGAAATGAGCAAATGGATTTCTGGCATGGGTGGAGTAGATGGATTAAAATATTCTGGAAGCGAATGGACTGCTAATGCCGACAAAATGCAGAGTGGTGGATGGGGTTTCTTCGCTTATGGTAATGTACGAAATGATATTCGTCTTTGGATGCATGGTCCACTTGATCAATCTTCGACTTGCTGGGCACATTGATTATCAATAAAGCACAACATTTTTTGACTCTTTTGTTTTTTTAATAATTAAATTACATTTATTTCTTTTTCAAAACTTCCCAAATACGATTTCAAGTATGTTTTAAAGAGGATTCACCTACATGTTTCTTATGAGTTTGTCCGCAGTAAAGGTTTTAAAAATGTTGACCCACAACATTTTATTCTCAATGCTTTTGAACAAACGCTATTAAGTTGTGAAAGTCAGCTTTCAATATATAGGGTAAAAAAGTGTGAAGAACTAGAACCAGGAAGCATGCCAATCAATCTTTTGCGATGCCGTTCCACGAAAACGTTGCGGCGTTATTATATTTGTTTATCTATGTAAGCAGCAGAGAATATAATGAAAAGCTGTTTAGCCTCTAACATCTCAATGAGAATAAATGCTTTTTGGCTCTTGTTTGTTCCCATCTGATCAAGATGAGCGTTCTTCTGAAATAATAGGGCCTCTTACTCTTCAAACGTACTCTTTAAACCCTTTTTTTCTTCTCTCTCTCTCTCGCCGTAATACCACAGCTAATTAATTCAGGCATACGTACACTTCATTCTTTGAAAATGAGTGACGTCAAAACATTTTCATGGTCGATACTCAATCTAACCCTGTATGGGGTCTTTCTAGAACTCTTTACGCTTATCAGATCGTTCGAAGTTTGCTGTTCATGGTGTAGATATAATTGTTATTTCGACAGTATCATTGCAAGCGTACCGATAAGTATTTGTTATATGTATAGAAATAGAGAAGATTGTCATATGGTAATGAGTGGAATAAAAAAAAGAAACAAATAGTATACAGTAAAACCTCCCATAGATGGGCACCTTTGGGACTATTTGAAATCGCCTACCTTGCTGAGATGCCCGCGTTATAGAGTTTTGTGTATAGATATCGATCAGTAATGTTTCGGCAAGCTACACCATCAAGAGGATCTATACTTATGCATTACTAGCGGAAGTACCCGATGTTGGTTGAAATAATTTGATAATGCATACTTGACATATTAGAAAACGACATCGTTATGATCTCCTATCAGTTATCGGGCTTCGATATCGCGAAATGTGTTCAGATCACTTTTCCTTTTCAATTGTTGCTTTCGTCATTTTTAATTTTTGAAAATGTTTTCATCCTTTTCGATGTTCTTTTTGTTTGATCGACTACTTTTATTAGGAAAAGGCTGTGTCTAATGAAATACAATTCTTATTGCAAAGCTGTTTGATACACAATGTTCTTGGTTTTCGCATCAGGTGCAAAAACATACACATTCTTCCCAGCTCCAACTCTTGAGCATGCTACGTAAAATTGGCCATGAGAAAAGCAAGGAGTTTCTAGATTATCTTCCTGTCCTTGTCTGTCGCGCCAATCTCGTCTCAATTTTTCTCTAGACTAAGGGCTATGCCATGGAAAGTTTGATGACGCTAGTTATTAGCGAAACCAAATGCACAAAGAACAGACAGACAAACATTGTTGTTTATATAAACAGAAGAAGATACTCGCTTCCATACCCTACTCACATTCAGTGCTTGAATCCCTAATTCGAACTCATTGCCTCTAGAAGCCCTTAGCTAACTTTTCTCCTGAAAACGCAATTTTGATTAGCTTGTTTCTTAGCAGCTGAATCCCCATGGGTTTTCGGACAGCCAATCAGATTTCAAGGCAACTGGACCTCAGATTCAAACTCATCGCCTCTAAAATCCCCCTGCCCCATCATTTCCTTGAATGTATAAGTGTTTGAGTCTATTTTCCTAAGAGCTGAATTCCTATTGGTTTCCAAACAACCAATCAGATTTCGAGGCGAATGGACCTCAGATTCGAACTCATCACCTCTAAAAACCCCTTGCCCCATCACTTCCTTGAAAATATAAGTATTTGGATCTGTTTTCTTAAGAGCTGAGTTCCTATTGGTTTCCAAACAACCAATCAGATTT